CCATGGGAGTTTTACCCATGATTTAGGTATATCCCTTTTGTCCTACTCTGTAATTTTGAGGTATATTTGAAAAATGGCATTTTTATCTTCCTGAAGGCTAGACCAATTAGTTAATTCAGATATGTGCTCATTCTTTTTTATTACATACATAGCCAAGAGTAGATTTAAATTTGAAGATTTATCTAAAACATTAAAAAATTTAAGATTAAGATTTTTAGTGTGTGCATGTGTACAGTCGTGTGTGTGCATGTGTACAGTCGTGTGTGTGCATGTGCACAGTTGTGTGTGTGCATGTGTACAGTCGTGTGTGTGCATGTGTATAGTTGTGTGTGCATGTGTATAGTTGTGTGTGTATGTGTGTGCATGTGTACAGTTGTGTGTGCATGTGTATAGTTGTGTATGTGTGTGCGCATGTGTACAGTTGTGTGTGTGCATGTGTACAGTCGTGTGTGTGCATGTGTAGTCGTGTGTGTGCATGTGCACAGTTGTGTGTGCATGTGCACAGTTGTGTGTGTGCATGTGCACAGTTGTGTGTGCATGTGTATAGTTGTGTGTGTGCATGTGCACAGTTGTGTGTGTGCATGTGCACAGTTGTGTGTGCATGTGCACAGTTGTGTGTGTGCATGTGTACAGTTGTGTGTGCATGTGTATAGTTGTGTATGTGTGTGCGCATGTGTACAGTTGTGTGTGTGCATGTGTATAGTTGTGTGTGTGCGCATGTGTACAGTTGTGTGTGTGCATGTGTACAGTTGTGTGTGTGCATGTGCAGTTGTGTGTGCATGTGCACAGTTGTGTGTGCATGTGCACACTTGTGTGTGTGCATGTGTACAGTTGTGTGTGCATGTGTATAGTTGTGTATGTGTGTGCGCATGTGTACAGTTGTGTGTGTGCATGTGTATAGTTGTGTGTGTGCGCATGTGTACAGTTGTGTGTGTGCATGTGTATAGTTGTGTGTGTGCATGTGCACAGTTGTGTGTGCATGTGTATAGTTGTGTGTATGTGTGTGCATGTGTACAGTTGTGTGTGCATGTGTACAGTTGTGTGTGGGTGTACTGCAGTGTGTGTTTAGTGACCAATGAGCAACTGTCATAATCCTCTCTTGCCACCATATAGAATTCATGAACCAAAGTCAGGTCACTGTGCTCTCTGACAAGAGTCTGTATGAGCTGAGAGACATGGCTTGAAATTTAAAAATTCTTTAATTACATTGTTGTATGGAATAGCCTTCCTCTTTTCCTCCTCCCTCCATCGCTTCCTCCTTTGCTCCCCTCCCTCTCTCCCTGTCTTCCTTTCTTTCATCTTTTCATTCACCATTTCAGCCCTCTATTTCTGCTATTCTAACTCATGGGATTTCTTTGGGAATCTTCAAATAAAATTCTGAATATTTATTTTACATATGTGTGTATATGTGTGTGTTTTCCTTATAACAAGCAATTGTTTCTTAAACCTTTTTTCTTATTAAAACCCAGTGCACTTTGAAAAGCGTAAAAAAAGAACAGAAATGATACCACCCATTTATCACAAATATATACAGGTAAAATAAAAACAAAGCCATTGCTCAGGGATCATCTATCACACCCCTCTAGAATTAACCACAATTTACAAGTATATTAATCACGTCCTTGCTTTCCTTTGTCTAACCCCCGTCATACTTCTGAAGCACGAGGTTTAGTTTACTACCTGTCCTCCAGGTTGTTTGGTTTGGGCTTGTTTTTAATGCACACAAATGGAATTACATTAGCATGTGACCTTCTAGGGCCAACATTTCAATTACACTTGTAGCATAATGGTTTTTACTGCTCTGAGGTACACCACTGTATGAGTTTACCAAAAGTCTTCTGTCTGTTCTGCCATTTGGGTCTAGGGTAAGGAGTGTCTCTCTGGGCATTATTCTTTCTTGTCTCTTGGTGACACTGCGTACATCCTCATTGGAGATGCGTATGTGCGTATGTTAGGATTGCAAAGACAGGGGTATGTGTCTTTGGCATTTCTGAAAGTAGCATCTGCTTACAGACAACTCCCACCAAGGACAGGGATGGTCTCCCCTTCTCTTTGTCCACACCACACTAGATATTCTTTTTGCCCATCTGTTTATTGTCACCCCAGGATTTGAACTTCCATTCCCCTGATTGCTAATGAAGTAAAAAAAAAATGCAAAGAAATCTGTTGAGACTTTTACTGGAACTACATTTAGTCTATAGATGATGGGGTGGGGTGTTGTGAAACAGCCCTCTAACATGTTTGCTGAGCTTGTCTGTAGAGAAGGCTTCATTTTCTTAGCAATGCTCATGTTTTCTGAAGATAACTTGAAGGCCAGCATGTCATTATTATATTTATTCTAGATAGTGTATGTTTTATGCTGTGGCAAATGTTCTCCCTTGTTTGTCTGAGACAGGATCTCACATGGCTACCACAGAGCTCATGTGTAGACCAGGATAGTCAGAAGTTTGCAGTCCACCTGCTTTAGTTTCCTCATCAGTGCTGGGATGCAGGCATCAGCCACCATACTCAAGTCTATAAATGCTTCTTCTTGTGAATTTCATTTTCAAGTATGTTGTCGATATATTTGCTTTGTGAATATGTTCAAATTTTACCTTTTCGTGCAACTGCAGTTCTTCTGTGAATTTGTTCAAATTTTCCTTTGTATTTGATTCTCTAGTGGACAAGCTTACCCACTCCTCTTCTAAATTATGATGCCTTTAATTATTTTATTGTTGTTTATTAAGACTAGGACCTTTACTGACTGTGATTTCCACCACAATGGTGACAGTTTCAAAGAGGAAATAAGTTATAGGGTTTTTTGAGTCCAGGTCTCATATAAGCCAGGATGGCCTGGAATTCACTGTGTAGCCAAGAGTATCCTTGACCTTTTATAATATTCCTAAATGTTGAGATTATAGGTATGTGCTACCATGCCCAGTTTCTCTGGTGCTGGAGCCTGGACCTAAAGCCTTGTGTGTGCTATAGCTCCATTCTGCCACCCCACCTCAGTGCAAATTTTTAAGTGTGATATTGTGTGTTGTGGGTTTGGTCTGATAATAGTTTACTTAGGAATTTTAGGTCCAGATTCACAAATGAGCAACTCATGTGATTCTTACTCTTTTTATGTCTATCCTAACACTCATTCCCAAGGGTTTGTTAGATTCTCAGTACAATGGGGGACGAGGGCTGTTTCCTCTTTACTGTCTGAACATGTTTGGGGTATAACCAGTTAGAATTCACAAGAGAAACTGTCAAGGCTAAAATGTCTTGTTTTGTGTCTACTTTTTAAAAGTTTTAGTTACAAATTCAATCTTAAGTAAGACAGTTGGGGTATTCTCTTTCTTTTAGTGCCCCTCCTGTTATCTGTCATTCTCTAAGAATGTCTTCATTCCATCTGAATGTCAGATTAGCTGGAAGTTGTTTGTGCTACTCTCTTGTGTATTCACGCTGTGTAGGATATGCAGCATGCTTGCTCTCTCTTGTTCTCTCATTGAACTTTCCAGAGATTTATCCATTTTTGTTGATCTTTCCAATCAGTTAATTATCTCATTCTCATTACTATTTGCTCTCTCAAGAATTACTTAGAAATGTATCCAAATATATCATAGGTCTTTTGTTCCTCTCTAGAAAATAGTTTGTATTTCCACTTGATCAAAAAACACACTATCAGCCGGGAAGGTTGTGGTGCACAGCTTTAATCCCAGCACTCGGGGCGGGGCAGACACAGGTGGATCTCTGTGGATCTGAGGCCAGCCTGGTCTACAGAGTGAGTTCCAGGACAGTCAGGGCTGTTGCACAGGACACTCTGTCTTGAAAAGTAAATAAATTGACAAAAACATACTATGAATTTTTTTCCTCATTTGAACATTATCGTTACTTGCTTTATTGCTGTAAGGCCTTGGTGCCACTATTGGGTGTGCCTGTCTGTGTCCATGGTTTGGCCTCACTTTGTCGACATGCAAACCTCCCACATCCTCTTTGCCCCCTCTGCTGCTTACCCAGCCAGTCGCTGAGAGAAATGTGCTGCTGCGCCACTGGTGAGTGTTTCTCCTTAAACGGTCCTTGTGTCTTTAGCCCACATTACAAAATATATACAAATGTGGAGTTTCCCTGTTTTCCAAAAAATGAGCATGTAGTCGTCATCGTTAAGAGTACTTCTTCACCTCTGATGATTATTTTATCTTCCAGGAGACACAGACTCGTCAGTTTTCTTTTAGTTATCATGTGCATAGTAAATACCACCATTTTTTTTCACTTTTCTGCTTCTCTATTTTAGATATTGGCATTAAATGGCAAATAGCTTTGTTTATTTACCAACATGTGCCAATCTTGATCTTTAAGAATATAGTTGAGATGTTTAGTGCAAATAAATCTAGATTCACATCCATGTCTTGAGGTTGATAACTCTTTAGAAAATCATCTTTTAGCTTCAGGAAACACCTCATTACAGTGCGTAAACTGAAGAAACTGTTGAGTTGTTGAGATGCTTCAGTATGTAAAAGACTCTTGCTGTGAACTCTAATGACCTGAGTTCAATCCCTGGGACCCCCATGATAGAAGGAGAGGCCAGTCCTGGTAGCTGCTCTCTGTGCACATGCACCGGCACACAATAGATAGATAAATAAATAAATATGAGTTTTAAAAGAAGTGTCTCTGATTTGCCTACGGATATGCAGGAATGTGGAAGTTTCTTCATCTCTTACTTGACTGAAATGTCTTCAGACTATTTCTAATTGAGTGTTTGGGAGTGTGGTATGCATCTCCACCCTCGTCTTTTTCATGATGTAGTTTCAGTATACACAGCATTGCCATTTTACTTCTTTTGTTTGTTGTAGTAGTTGGTGGTGTTTGCGATGGGTCCTTCTGTAGCTCTGGCTGGCCTCAACTCATTGTGGACCAGAGAGATTCACCTGCCTCTGCTTACTGAATGCTGTCGTATACCCCCACATCCAGCCAACAAAACATTTTGTAATCTGTGTTTTATAAAATACTGTAACAGTTTCACGCTTGCTCTACAGGGCTGTGACTCCCAGGTGAGCTTGTCAGAGGTGTCCTGTGGGGAAAGTACATCCTCCTGTCAGTCTCTTGAACATGGCTCCGTTCCAGAGATCCTCATCGGACTCCTCTACAACGCCACCACTGGAAGACTGTCAGCAGAAGTGATCAAAGGCAGCCACTTCAAAAACCTGGCAGCAAACAGACCACCCAGTGAGTGAAAACAAATGTTTTACCCCAATCTTTCTGTACTTAGGGGACTCCCATCATTTTAGTCTTAACCAATCACAATGAAACACTGAATCATCAGCCAACCTGCTTCATGTTTTCTATTGCCAGTCATTTGGGAAGTAGAAAATGTGAAATTCAAAATATTAATTGTATGGTAACAGGAATTCTAAGTTTTCATAGTGTCTGCAGAATAAATTATCCCTATTATAGCCATTATCTTTTAATGCCAGAAGAAGTTACAGGGTTTTAAAAAGTAGCTACAATTCACAGATATTAACAGAAGAGTATGTAGCTTTTGTCAGCTGACGATTACTGTTGTGTTTTCTGTCTGCGTGCAGTACTCTGAGCTACTGTATCTACTTCTGTATTTCCCTTCTTTTACCCTTAGCACCCTATGAAGAAAGACATTTCTTCTTCTTTGAAAGTATAGGTGCTCAGGATGTAGTTGAGCAGCACAGTATATACAGGCCTGGGCTTCAGCACCAGCACCACGCAGACACAGAAGCATCACCCTACACAGTCAGCAAGACTTTGTCTTCCCAGTACAAGTGAAATCAAGACAGTGCTTGCCCTAGGTGTACTGAATGGGGAGCAATGGGTGTCTGTCTGCCCTGACTGTCCCCTCTCCTATGTCCTCTCTCTGACTACTGAATATGAGAGTAGGTTTGGGAAGTACAGGGAAACTGTCCCCACCCCACTCCAGAGCTGTGTATGTGTGTGAGCCAGATCTAAATGGGGGCAGAACAACTCCTCTAAATTTCTATAAATTAAACTTGTTCATGCCCTGGACTAAAACTGAAAAGAAATTGTGAGTGATCAATAGCTTAAATTTGTTTAAAGATTTCCCAGAGACTTCCTTAATATAATCTTAATCAGGGTACCAAGCAGAGGGGGACCTTTTTCTATCCTTTACATTAAATTTTGCTTTTAAATGTCATAAAAATTCATTGTTGAATGAAGGTGAAACATTATAAAAAGATAATAGGTTTGTGCCAAGAAATGTTGGGGAACTTAACTTCATAGAATACATCTATCCCTAAATTGAGAAGTCTGGAGGGCAAGGCTAGAAAGATGACTGAGCAGTTAAGATCCCTGGTTGTTCTTCCAGAGGACTCAGGCGCAACTCCCAGTACCCAAATGGTAGATCGCAGCCATCTGTAACTCTAGTTCCGGGAACCCAGTCCATTTTTATGGTCTCTGCAGGCATTGGATACATACATGGTGCACAGACATACTTGCAGGCTAAACACCCATACACATAAAATGATATTTGAAATTTGAAAATAAGAATCTAAAGAGAAAAATTATAATCTCCATAGACAAATGGCCTGACCATGCAAGTCTGTTTCTTAATAGGGAAAGTTAAGTTTATGCCTCTCACAGGGTACTTGTGACAAAGGTGTATAAAAGTAGAATTAGTACCATCCACTTCTCATTTCAAAGAGAAAACTGAGTGTGTGAAAGAACACACTGAGAACAGGCAGGCTGGGGAGTCTTCATCCAAACACAGGGATAATCTGTCTACAAAGGACTGTAGAGAACCTGAATGAGATTTGCAGCTGGGCACATGTGAGCTTGTGAGGCCATGACAACCACAACTGTGCTTCCCTGACCACAAGAGCAGAGGGCAACACTGCACCAGGAGGCAAGCTGTCAGTCTCTGCCTCACACCTACGCTGGCGGTTCAATACATTGTCACGAATACTTATTGGACATGTCAAAAAGTAGCAGGGTGAAATGATAGTGTGATATAGAAATACAGCACAGGTGTCGGAATGAAAGGAGAGCAAGGCAAGGTCAGACAGGAAACTTAAGGATGTTGGGCCTACAACATGGAGTCTGTCCTTGGGGCAAAAGCATGACCTCAGTCTCAGGTTGATTAGTGATGTTAGCTATGGAGTCATTAGTAAGTAAATAAAGCCAACTTTTAAAATAATGATATAAAGGTAAGGCATTCAGAAAAGACATGTCAGATATAAGGCAATTGTGTCAGCGTGTTCTAAATTGTAAGATTATAGCCCTTCGTTGATACTCAGGTCTAAGCTGTCAACTGCTGAAAACCAGGTAACCTCAGATCCCCCAAGAAGCAGGAGCTACAACCAAGAGCAAGTGTTCTGACCATCGTATTTCATTTTGTGTGGCTTAGTTCTTGATTATATTGGAAGTAATCAGACTATTTGAAATTCTAAATATTGCATGGGTAAAATTAAAATGTAGCACAATAATAATGATCCTATAATGATTGTATTCAATCTTTTGTAGCCTGATAATTTGCATGATTCTATATGTTCAGTATGCTTTAGATCAAGAACATACCATTATAAATATGTCCCCCTCTTAAAACAGTGTAATTTTTAAGATTACACAATGATGTTGATTTCGTCATTCCATGAAATTTGTAAAACAGCCCTTTGTTCAGCCTTCTACTTGAATTAAAATGCTAAAGTTTTGTGTTTTTCCACTCAAGTGCACAGTGTTTCCTCTTTAATTCTGACCTTTGACCCCCTTTCACGCAAAGATTGACATCTGGTCATTATTTCTTTTACTGCTTTCCACCCCCTGTTGTCAGATGGACTGTTCTGTTGTCTAAAACACTTGATAGGTGGACAGGTTTATATAATCCGAGGTGAGTTCCTGTAGAGGCTAATTGGATGTTGTCTTTTCATGCAAAAACAAAATGCCCTAAAACTTGCCAGCAGTGAGACTGTCCACCATGTTGGTTTCCAAAACAATGCACATTTTTATCTGTGGTATTTTAATAAAACTAACTTAGACTTTATCTCTGATTATGGATGATGGTATTCAGACTATTAACAAATGAACCAAACTTTTTAAGATAAAGGTTATTTTTTATTTCTTTGTATTTTGATTTATGATAGAAATAGATATCTCATGAGGCCATGGCAATTATCTTTGAAATTTTGATATGAAGTACACATGATGGATCAACATGCTGAGATCATTTGCATGAGTCTAACAGACTTGAAAAGTCTTTTAAAGAGAGAATAATATATCTCCCATATAAAAAGGCCTTGAAGTGTTATATTTTACTTTGTATATGAAACATCACTTCAGTGTTTTTGTAACTGATGAAAATAATTAATATCATTCTTAAGATTTTAAATTAAATTATGCCTGAAAGAAACCCAGTAGTGTTTAACTACCTACACACACACCCAAAAAAGAACATCAAATGTACTCTTGCATGAAACTGTAAGAAAGTTTTACTTGGTTTGCTAAACGTTGACCCCTTAAAGCATTTGGCTTCATTGGACTCTTAATGCTTTCAGTGTGTATTTAAAAACCACATCCATGCAGAGATTTTTTTGACATTTCATCTTAAGCTGTTTCAGTGTCACCTTCGCATTCTTGTCTTCCTTTCCTCCTCACCATCTGCCTTCATTTCTCTTTGTTCGTTTATTCTTCCTCTCTGAAAACAGTGGAATGCTGTAGTGTTGTGGCTAATCGAGCTTGCTAAGTGTCTATTAATGCTATGATGTCCCGCTTAGTGGAGTGAAACAGGGTGGTGATGGGCAGGGGAGGCTGTGGGAGGCCAGTGAGGGGTGGGAGGGGGAAGGAAGGATTATGAGGTATACCTTTAAATTCCATTCTTAGAAATAGTGAGGCTAAGGCATTACTACTATCTAAGTATTTTCAGCCAACTTAGCATTCTCTATATTTGTCACATATTTAATAGGCATCTACATTAAAACTGAGTTAGTTCAGTTTCCATCAAACATGGTATACACCATATCCTTATAAAGTGTGACTACCTAATCTTGGCATTTATCACAAGAAAACTGTCAGTTTGTTTCAAATGATATGTGTGGTGTGCTGGTTTTCTTCCTTCAGATACATATGTTAAGTTAACACTGCTGAACTCCATGGGCCAGGAGATGTCCAGATGCAAGACATCCACCCGCAGAGGGCAGCCGAACCCGGTGTACAAGGAGACCTTTGTTTTCCAAGTGGCCTTGTTCCAACTTTCTGATGTGACTCTCATACTGTCTGTGTATAACAGGCGCAGCATGAAAAGAAAGGAGATGATAGGCTGGATCTCCTTAGGTCTGAACAGCTCTGGGGAGGAGGAGCTCAGACACTGGACTGCAATGAAGGAGTCCAAGGGACAGCAAGTGTGCAGGTGGCATGCCCTGCTGGAGTCCTGAGGAAGGCAGCTGTGAGCCAGCGCTGCCGTTGTCTCCTGGTCGCCGTCAGAGGAGCTGTTCCCTGGAGAGTCCTCGTCCACGCCCTGTCACCGTGCCCCACACTTACAGAAGAACCATCCAGTGCTGAGCTGAGGGAAGGAGGCTCTGTCTCTAGTAGGGCTCTCATGAAAAACCATGAAACTTGTATCCGTAGTGTCCAGCAGTCCTCCAGAAACTGAGTAACATGCTTTTGATTTGAAGTTTATTTTATTCACTGAAAGAGCTAGGAATTTCGTGGAGATTGTGATTTCAACCCAGAATTTCCATTGCAGCACTACATATCATCGTCCATATGCTATCTGTAAAGCATTATGAGGGCCAGTCCTTGGGTAGATCTCAGTGATATCTCAAGGTTCATTTACACTGATGATACTGTCGTTTCAGATATGCTCTCTCTGTGCCTCAGCCTTTCTTTATAGTACTAAACCCAAGTGCAAAATTCCCTCCAGGAAAGTTTAAGGTTGGTTTATTTCTTTACTTCCTTCTTTTTTCTGATCCAAAGAGACTGTGCCCCATTGGTCCCTTGCAAACCTTTCTGATGGTACTGCAGAAACTTCACAACTTTATGTTCAAGGCCTTTGTGTACTATATGTTCCAGTATAGAAAGTGGTAGAGCAAACCCCTCCTTTGGAATTGCTTTCAGGGGTGTGTCTGTCCAGCCGTGGGATGTGGCAGACACGGTAGGTAGATAGCTGTTGAAAATGGAAGACAAAGGAATTCTGTCTGTCTGTTCCAAGTGTCCAGTCTTCATCAGGAGTAAAGCAGGGTTAGCATCAAACCCGAAGCTCCTGGAGCCCTCACTCAGCCCCATTTCTTGGTTCTCAGCTTTAATCCAGTTAGGATCATTATTCTGCGGTCCCTTGTGCTCTGGTGACCTGTGCTGTGTTTTGTGGTGTCTTCAGCGTGATGTCACTCTGTGCCTTTCATGCAAGTTGACCTTGCTTACACAACTGGGAAGCAGTATCTGCAAATCTGGCCTTCAGCACGCGTAGGTGTGAAGCTCCTTGGCAGTGCCGTGTCCTTGCCCCTGTCTGCAGCATGTGAGGCTGTGCACTGTGCTGGCCTCCACAGGCCGAGCACATTCCTGTCCTGTATTCATATTTAGAAACCATAGGCCAATTGGATATAATATAAGCTATTTTCTTTTCATTTTTCTCCTTACCTAACATAAAATTTTATGCATACACTTTACTAGAGTATGTTTTATGTACATGAAATTATTTTCATTTTGCTCTTTCTCATTTCTAGTTAAACTAGACAAAAAAATGTTTACCAATTAGTGAAAAGCTGTGTCACGGTTGTTCCAACCCCAGCTGAGCACTCTGGACTGTTACTGTGAACCAGGACTCATCAATACCATGCTGACACAGCCACACACTGATTTATTAAATGTGGCAGTACTGAAAGGCCTTAAAAATCGCACGCAAGAGACCATGAACTTCTACATTTTTAGCTTAAAAGAAGGCATCTCTGTGCTTTCAAACAGCATTTTAAGGGGAAAAATACAAATAGGAAGCATGGAGTTAGTTTTCAGAGCCCAGCTGAGCTCACCCCTATACCCAGCATAGTGGCTTATCCCTGTAATACTAGCACTGGGGAGGCTGAGGCAAGGGGATTGCTGTGAGTTTGAGGTCAGCCTGGGCCACATAGTCCCAGGCCATCCTGGACTACAAAGAGAGAACTGTCAAAAAATAAAAAATATGTCAAAAAGGTGATTTGGAAAGAAAGCATTGGGACTGGGGAGATGGCTCAGCCACTAAAGGCCAGGTTCACAGCCAAAAAGAAAAAGAAAGCATCCTTCTGTCATTCTTTCAGAGAGATTTTCAGGAGTTTGTTGTTATTTTAAATAAAGTGGATAAGGTTAGAAATTAAACCATGAACAAGAAGCAAAAATAGTTGTTTTTTTAAGTGTTGTTGAAGAACATAGTAAGGCAAAATGTGAAGAAGGCTATTAGGTTACACTGAAAATTGGGTGCAGGCATTTGATGCTACAGGGAGCTTTTGCTGTCTTTGAAACAATCAACTGCATGACTAACAATGGTTGTCTTCCTAATAAAGTCACTGGTCTTCTTTGTAAGGAAGTTCAAGTCGACATTATAAGACCAGCTTGGTGCTTTCACTGTGTGGAGAGGAAAACCTGTTACTTGTTAAACCTCCTTCTGGAGACTGCCCAGAACTGTGTACTGCCCAAGTTCCTCAGGGGTATCCGGTGCAAGTGTCACTACTCATGTGTGGCCTGGAAAGAGATTTCAGTCTTCTTTAACGTCAGGACAGCCCTCCATCCATCCCATGTTCCAAGTCCTCAATGATTACAAATTATATGTGTGCACATAACGCACACACACAACACAGCATGCCATGTGCGTACAAAGGTGAAGGTGCCCCGCCTTCTCACGTAGCTGAATAGAAAGGCGTTTCTCCAGATCATGGATTGCTTTTTTCTCTTCTAAAATTTCTAAATGTGATGTTAGGTTTGGAGCCGAATGCTGTCATTCTGCCGGATATACACAAATATGCATCTTTTTCTCTCCTACAATTTAACACAAATACTTCCCCAAATTATCTGAGCCACAGATGTTGACTTGGGAACCATTCTGCTAAAGTCAACAGTTGACTGGAACACGGGGTATTCTCAGCCTCCCCAGTGCGGCTGTTGATTGTTGTCCGGCCTCCCAGAAGTTTCTGTCATTTTGGAGCCAGAGTAGCAGCCACCTTTAATTTGAAGTAAGATTGCACATTATCTCACTGCATGTGAATTCCCTATAGTGTTGCGTTCACTAACGAAAGTAACTCATTAGATCTTGTTTTAAGAAAAACTACTTAAACTTCCTGGATGACGATGCTGCTGCTGTGAAGTTGGGTGTTGTTAGGGGGTGTGATCTGATCTGTGCAAACACAGCCAGCTCTGTGTGTTATACCACTGCTTCCTCCCTGAACTAACTGGGAGCATGACCAGTGCCTGGGAGTCTGATTGCATCAACGGGCAAGCAGAAGCAGAATCCAGGCTGTTCCTGGCAACGAGGAATACAAATGATATCCCAGATCTTTGAGGGAACTAAGAACTAGGGGAGCTATTTGAAGTGTGCACAGTAGAAGGCCAGTGGTCACCAACCGTTCTTTTCAAAATCCTTGTCCAGGTATCACTAGAAAGGACACAAAGCTGCCATTTATCTCCATAGACTGGAGAATTCATAGAAAAAAATTCGCATTGCTAGTTGTTATTCAAAGTTTCTCTCTCTTACTTTCTCTATAACCCATTTCTTCCTCTTCATCTGTCAACTGAAAGTGGCCATGCGTGTCCCTGTCGCCAGCCAGTCTGACACTGAAATAAGGTGAGGCATGCATTGAGGCACTTAAGACTCCCTCCAGAGCTAAAGTGCTGCTGGTGGTTATAGCTGTGGCTTAGTAAAGAACTGGGACAGTAATTTTTTTATTTATTTGACTCTCACAACATATGAGAGGCGAGTAACATCGCCAGCATTCTATCTGTGAAGAAGCTGGTGTCTGGGGAAGCAGAGCCGACCCCCTAAGGCTGCCCCTCTTTGAGGAAAACCGCCCTAGAAGCGGCATGACTCCAAGCCCACTCGTGCACATTACATCCTCACCATCTCTGTCATGAGTGAAGTGAGCAGCACTGGCCTGGGCAAGTCCTGCCCAGCTTGTTTGAATGGCAGAGACAGGCCCCAGAGAGTAGAGCTTAGAAAGCAAAATGACGGTTGAGGGGGCTTGCCTTCTCGGGACACAAGCGGTACTTAATTCACAGCCAGCTTCCTGCCCCTTCATTGTCGGCAATTATGTGTCCCAGAGTCTCCACCAGCCCTTCTGCTAAGAGGGGCACGCAGCAAATACTGATGAGTGAAATCTCTGTGGCAGAACCTGTACTCCTGTTGTGAAAATCTTCCTTTATGAACCTTGTTCGCTGACTGGGTTTCCTCTTCTCCATTTACTATATATATATATGAGAATCCCAGCTGTGTGCTGTGTGCTGTTGTAGGGCTACAACTGGATGGACAGTCTTCCCTCATCATCTTGTATTCTACAGTAAGGAGACCGGCATGGGATGGTGATTTTTGTTGTTGTTGTTGTTGTTGTTAGATATGAGGTGTAGAGAAAGGTCACTGGGCTTGATCAGGAAGTAAACCGTGAGTTCAGCAATACCCCTAGAAGATGAGAACAAAATGTGGGTTGGACTACCACCAAACTCCCCCAAAAAACACAGACAGTGGTTCCCAGTGTGTAGTGTATGTAAGAGTTCACTCTAGGTTCTATCCGGAGAGTCTTTCTCACGTGATGTAGAGGAAAGCCTGTGAGTTCAGGCTGAATGAGCTCTCCAGGAAATCCCACCTGGGCAGTACTGGGATATAACACTTAGTTTCTAATCTGCAGTTGTTGGCAGCAGTTTCATCGATTTCAACCCACAGATTAAATCTTAATGTGGGAGTGGTAAGGTGTGTAGTTTCTGGGTAACTGAGAAAGCAGCTTCTTGAGGATGAAGAATCTTAGACCGTTGTGTCCTATTCTCTCCTTCCGATCTCTCTCATGTTGCTTTCAAAGAACAATTTCCAAACATACAGAACTGACGCTAATACCATAAAGTTAGAGGACAGCCTTCTTAAAGGCAGGGATGGCATTTTGGCAGTTTTGTTGGAAAAATAGCTAAAGATATTGATATTTCCTGCCATGCGCTGGCATATCTTGGCTGAGGGGAGACAAGGACAACTGGCGAGTACACAACGCTGCTGACGTGTTGTGAGTGATTATTTCAAGCACGGCTGGAAAGGTATGGTGGTGCTCCCAAATAGTTTGAGCTTATCAGGAGAAAAGCTACAGTAGTAACATATTTTAAATTTTTATTTATTATGTTTCTACATAGTCTTACTACAATAACTTTCTGGTGAAAATAATACAGCAATTCTGAGGCATTTTAAAGCTGATACCAAGGGGACAGCCTTCGCCTTAGTTGGCAGTGACTGCCATATCCCAGCAACTTGGCTGGACTTGCACCTGACTTCCGAAATAAGGTAGTGTGTCAGAACTGCTTCTCAGTGCGTGAGCTATGAATTTTAAGAGTCTGATAAGTATTGGGAGCTAGTCTTTTTCTAAAACTCAAGAGGTTCATCACTGCTTGGAACTTCTGCACTGGGACTTCGCTTCTCAAAATGTAATTTTTATAGAAAAGCTCAATCCATGGATCTTTTTATTCAGTATCTCCTTCTCTCCCTCCCTTCCCCATCCTCTCTCCCTCTCTTCCTCTCTTCCTTTCAGTTTCTGAGGCACGGAGCTTCCTTAATAGTCTAGTTTCTATGGAGCTTTCTTACTTATTTTTCTAATAATAGGTGTAACCAAATGATGATGTTTAACTGCTCCGTGAGCAGAACTGTCTCAACCAACCCGAAGAAACGTGCTGCCTATCGGTGTTTCCTTTGGTCTCAACTGTCTGCAGCCTGTTTGCTAGTGACTCTCCCCATGAGTGGGCTTTGCTCTTGTACATAGTATGTCCATGTGATCATCAACAGTGCTGTGTTGTTGTCACACGTTTATATGCACTCGATCAAAACTAAAAGCTGACAAGTGTGTGAGCCATCATTTTGTAGAGTGAACGGCTGAACCACCTTCCTGTCACCGGAGTTGCGCCGTGCGTCTGTCCGTCCGTTGCCTTTAACTCTCATAACTTCTTTTGTACTCTCTACACCGACTATTGCGGTGCCTTTTTCCTTTTGTATAATTGTATTACATAAAGAAATTGCTGACCTGTGTGTAAAAATGTCAAAATTACACCAGTCCAAGGAGATTTTCATGGCAGTTCAATTTTCCAGAGAATAAATTTTTTGTGTGCATTAAAAGTTACTTTTCTTCACATTTATCTTAAAAAGGAAGTGTTCCAGTTTTAGCATTCATGTGGAGTAGATAAACTTCTTCAATGCTGATACATAAAACTCATCCCTAATTCTCAACTGGCCACAGGATGTTAACATGACTGTTACATACACAAATATCAAGTGGGTCTGTGTGTCCCCAAGACTGGGTTTGAAACGAATCACATATGCCATCAAATACTGTTGTCAGAGTGTTTGGATCATATTTTTTTACTGTGAGTCAAATCTGACCTCTCAAGGAAAGCACACTCCAGGCAAACACTCTAAAGTGATTCCTTGAAAGTTCATATAAATCAAGAATGGATGAAGTTGCTTCAGTAGGCTGGGCTCCTTAGCTGGAATGTGGCATGGATCCCATTACCTAGCTTTGTCTTTCTCTGGCTGTGAGCCTGTCCTCATTCCCTTGGATTCCTGTTAACAAGCCCCTTTTCTAAAGGTAACAGTATAAAGTATATTGTCTACCAAGACCTTGCATGTAGGTTCATGTTACATTTCCATGTCTATTTTGTTTCTAAGAGGATAAGAACCAGTGTTAACACATACTTAGGCATTTGGTGGTCTAGTCTGATAGAAATTCAAGTTGCTACATCACCTTATTTCTGATGGATTGTCTTTGAATCCTGAGTTCCATCAACTGACCAGCCTTTTCTTTTTCTTTGGCTTTTTGAGATAGTGGAGCACCAGTACCTACTTGGTCTGTTTGTGTTTGTTTGTTTTTGGTAAGGAATCATCTCTATTAAACACAATGGAAATGCATTTGTGCTCAAAATAAATATATTTGTAACAAGCTCTTCAACCATAGAAAAGTACTTTGTATCTTTTCCTAGTATCCACTGGTTAATTCTGCAACCTCAAATCAGTGTTCTCAAAAAAGTTTCTGAATTCTAAACAATACCTCAATTAGGGATGATTTGTTAATTGTTTGGTACTTGGAAGGATATGCATATGGTTCATGGCTTCCTATTTCCAAAGAATCACAACAGATAAACAGTGAAATTCCAGCAGAAAGTTGGCACTGCTGCACTCTTGCTAGAAAGCTGGAAAGTTATCATTTCCTATTATTAAAATATACATTTATCATCATAACACATTATTCTGAAGGTTACATTTTACCTACAGGTTGCTTATAACTCCTTTGATCTCCAACATGCCAAACAATATTTAAGTCAACTCTTCATTCCCAAGATTATCCAAATATTCCATAATGTTTCCTATTTGAAAATGAAGCCATTGCCAACTTAAAATGGTGTGGCCTTAGATGTGAAATGTTTGGCTGGGGCATGAGAATGAATTTCCAGGTGTAAATCACTAAATGTGAAGCAATTAAATGCCATCCAGAGGGGGACACATAGCAGGCTGGGTGTCTGAGAAAGTCACTGTTGAGTTGTGTGGCGAAATCTCCAAAGTCCTAAGTGTCCGTAACTGTGCACCCCTGCAAGCTGTTAATTTTACCGGTTTTCTAGTTTTAGCCATTCTGATAGTTGAGTAGTAGATCTCACTGTGGTAATCTGCAGTTGCCTGACATCAAGGCACAGGTAGGTGGTGTGTGTGTGTGTGTGTGTGTGTGTGTGTGTGTGTGTATGTTGGGTACTATGGAATTGTAACAGTTCTCTGTGTGCTTTAGACTCGGGTCCTTCACTAGGTGTGGTACTCTGAAAGTGCCTTTTCTGGGGTGGGGATGTAGCTGCGTGTTCTCACCTGTGTCTTCACTGAACAGAAGTGGTGACCTTAATCAAGGTCACTATTTCCCTGATTTTCTTTCATGAGTTGTACTTTTGATGCTGTATTTTAAATTTCATAACCAAACCACAGTCACATAGATTGTCTCCTACATTTACCTTTTATATTTCTGCTTTCTATGTTTATGTCTATCATCCACTTGGGAAGATAAAAGGTTTGACTGTGTCTGCCTATTTTTTTTTCAGATAGGTATGCAGTTTTTTTCTGGTGCCATCTGTTGGAGACAGTGTCCATCCCAGAAAGAACTGCTTTCATTCATGTGTCTCTTTGTGCTCTCCGCTGTCTCCACACGTTGGTGCCTGACCTTCCTGATACCTCACCATTCTGTCTCACAAGTGGGCTCTTGGTAAATCTTGCTTTTCTGTCCTGTCAGAACTATTTTCCTTCAGTGCCATCTTCTCTATTATAGGTAGGATTTGTTTTGTCTTGCCTTTTCTTTTTTTGTTTTTTGTTTTTGTTTGTTTTTAAAGACTTATTAATTATGTATACAGTGTTCTGCCTGCATGTATTTCCACACACCAGAAGAGGGCATCCGATCTCATTATAGAGGGTTGTGAGCCACCATGTGGTTGCTGGGAATTGAAGTCTTGACCTCTGGAAGAACAGCCAGTACTCTTAACTTCTGGGCCATCTCTCCAGCCCTTTGTCTTGCCTTTTCTGTATAAAATTTAGAAATAGTTTGATGATCGCTATCAAGTGACTTCTTGCAGTTTACACTGGGATTTGTTGAACATGAAAATAATTGATAACTTATAGTCTAGTACCTAGTCTTTGAAACCAGGAACATAAAGTATGTTCCCATTTATTTGTTTGCAAGATTTCATTGGCTGCATAGTTATATATGTAGAACATAACCTATCTTCCCATTTATGTAAGTGTGTACAGGGTTCACTGGTTGCACAGTTACACATGTGTGGACCCTAGCTTGCTGAGGAGTTCCCTCATGAATGACTGTTGGGCTTTGGCAGAGCCTGTTTCTGTATCTAATGATTTTCTTCTTTAACCCACAGAAGTGGTGGATTCTATAGATAGATTTGCTGTGTTGACCTGGCCTTGCAGGCTTAGAATAAGTCTCAGTTGGTGGTGGCAACTGATCTTGTTACACTACCTGAGCCAGTATGCTACCATTGCTGAGGGGTTTCACATCAGTGTTCTGGGGATGTGCCCGGGACGCTTTGTAATGTCTGTATCTGGCTTCAGCCGGCCCTCAGAGACTGGACGGAGACAGCTCCCTCCACCTCTGCATCTGGAAGAATGTGTGGAGAGCTCGTTGACATGACAGTGATTTGTCTTTTTGAATGTTTGGTAAAAATTTATCTGTGAAGGCATTTTTGCTCGCTGTTTTCTTCTTCCTTGAGGCTGTTACTCAGGTTTTAGTACGTGTGGGCCTGTTCCCATCACCTGCCTCTTTTGTGCCGGTTTTAATCGTGTGCATCTGAAAGGAATTGATGCATTTCCCTGAGTATCAAACTCTTGAAACTACAGCTGTTAGCATTACTCATTGTTCTTTTAACATCAGTGCCTGCTGCTTCTCTCTCACTCCCTCCCCCTCTCCCTTGCCTAGCTACATATTTTCCATGCAATGATCTCTCTTCGTGTTGTTGATTTTTACTATTGACATCTGATTTTAATGCCGCTCACTTCAGCGTTAGCTTTTCTTTCTTTGGTTTGCTGTAGACTTCAGTGTTTGTTCTTTCTCTCCCTGCCTAAGATGGGAGTTTGTGACTGAGGTTGGTTCTGCCTTCTCCCTTGATGCATGCGCAGCTGCAGCATTCATCCCTGATGCATGCGCAGCTGCAGCCCTCTCCCCGATGCATGCGGAGCTGCAGCCCTCTCCCCGATGCATGCGCAGCTGCAGCCCTCTCCCCCGATGCATGCGCAGCTGCAGCCCTCTCCCCGATGCATACGCAGCTGCAGCTCTCTCCCGCGATGCATGTGCAGCTGCAGCCCTCTCCCCCGATGCATGCGGAGCTGCAGCTCTCCCTGCAAGCACTACTTCACTGCAACCCACAAGCCTGATTTCCATGTCTGTTTTAGTTTTCATTTAGTTCAAATATTTTTTCCTGAGGCTTGTGTGGCACGTATATTGTTCATAAATGTGTTACTTCCAAATCAAGTAATGGTTTATTTCCATTTTGTTACCGTTGCTGTTCTTTTGTGTGTATTTTTGTGCAGTCATGTGTGTATATCTGTGCTGTACAACACTGGGGCCGTCTGCAAATCCTATCACCCAGGGTTTCCATCCTCTAGTTCCCCAAAGAAGTCTATATTGTCTTCAGTCTGTGGTATTGGCACCTTTGCCCTCCCTCGTTATGAATAGTTTTCCTTTTGGTTTTTGACAGGCAGGTTAAAAACTTTTGGTTCTAGCCTCTGTAAGACTTTAATCATTTAAAATGTCAATCTATGCTGCCAGTTTAATGACATCAGCATTTTGTTTGTTTGTTTGTTTGGTATTTGCGTTTGTTTTGATTGGTCGCTGTTTGGTTTGTTTATTTCTGGGATCTAACCCAGGGCCTTGCATGTGGTAGACAAGTACTCCACCGCTGAGGCTCGGCCCTGTATCCCTAGCCCTAGCTTTTTATCACTTGCCTTTTTAATGAAATAGTACTGTTTAAAACCATTTTTGTTTGAGCTTCAGTCTGTCCTACAAATAGCTGTTAAGCATACACTGTGTGTTAGGAGCTATGTTTTAAGGCTTGGGTATTTAAAAAAGAGAGAGATACATTTTCTTCCAAATGAAGTATGTGATCTCATTGTCTTGAAAACCAAACAAGGGAAAATATCAACAGTTCTGTGTTAGGAGTCTGTAAATGGCACTCTATCCTCACAGACGTGGGGATGTTCTTTGGGAGTGGCACATAGGAGTTGCTTAAGCAGGGGTCTGTAGCATAAGTGTGGCCTAGAGGGAGAGAGAGCTGTGTGATTTCTAGGGAATTTGGGTGAGACAGTGTTTGAACTCAGGCGTGCAGATATGAGGTTGACTGACTGACGGTACCAGAAGTCACTTACCAACCACTGAAAACAGCAGGATGAAAAACTGCTTCAGAGATTGCCAAGAACAGTGCGTGCGGGACTTTGTTTCACACGAGCAGTGGGCAAAGGAAAATTCCTCAAGAGTTTTCAAGGAGATAGCAGTGTGAAGAGACTTTTGCTCTTTTAGTCCCGCCCCTTTAGTTTGGGAGATGGGTCAGAGAAACGCTGGAAGGAAAGAAACACTGGAAGCGAGACCTTTGAGTCACAGCATGCAAACTGTTGAGGGCTGGAACTAGAGGAGAAGGAGAAAGGAGAAGGAGAAAGCCAACCTGGTATGGGGAGGCGATGGCATCCGGGGTACAAGGAGGTCAATATCTGAGCAAAGCTGCCCCGGGCTTGGGCAGCTGGGTTCCGAGTACCACTTTCTGCTGCGGCAGTGGCCTTCTCTGAGACCATGTCACCAGCTTCGGGAGACTTCGACATCTCAGGGATGATGGCTGAAGTGGTATATGAAGGTCCAGAGCCCACAAGAGGAGGATGGGCCGGTGACAGGAGTTTAGATTTCACCAAATTTCACATGGAAGTCTGAACGGGGTTTGTTACATACCCGAAGCGTATAGCTTAACCGATACATGTTACAAAAGCAGCATTGAAAAACACATCTTTTAAGGATGAAGCTCAATGGGAACATGTCATAGTAAGTGTCCAGATCCTCTGTCAATAAAATTATAAAATAATTAGAAGACACCAAGAGTGTGCCTCATTGTAGAGCACTGGCCTGGAATATGTGAGTCCCTGAGTCAGTTTAGTGAACAAATCAGCTAAACTGACACCCTTAGGGTTTAAAGGGCTTCCATAATGGATGTTGTTCTTACACAGGTTGCCCCTCCCCCTACCAACTACTCTTTGCTGTTGCCCTTACCCTGGTTTTATGCCTTAAATTTAGGCTGTTTGGTGTTTCTCTGGTGCTGAGTGGCTGGACACTAACTAAAGGTCACATGCATTGGCAGGTACCAGTGTTAGCTGTTCTCCTTTGACAAATGAGCCCCCTTGGTAATGTACAATCACACCGTG